TAAGGGCGATTAAATATTCTGTTAAACCCTGGGCCTCAAATCTGTAAATTATATATTCTGTAAATCCGTGGTGTACAAAGACTATCGCTAGAAGATCACGTCTTTCAGTTGTTTGAAACTGTCTAACGCCTGGTGCTTAGAGAAGTGCTCCCAATCCATCACATCACATACCTCTCCTCAAAGTTTTATATAAACCTCGTGCAAATATCATCTCTATCCGAATTCACGCTGTGCAGAAACCCAATCCACAACACAAGAATCAAAAACAAACATAAACCATGTATTTCTTAACTTGTTCTCCGAAATGGAATAAACAGGCGGCTTAAAAGGTTTCGCGAGCTATTGTATTAGCTGTAAGAAATTTGTTATAAATTAGTTTCAAGCCATGCACGTGACAGAGTTGTATTAACTGAACCTTACAATCCTTTTGAAATGAAACAACAAAAAAAGAAAATAATTTCTCGAGGGTGAAAGGAATGGTCGAGAGCGAAGGCGCTCTGTACCTTTAAAAGACCTCCCGCCCGGCCTCTCCGTTGTCTGCACCGCCCGGTGCGCCGCGAGAGAAGCGAACGCTCGAGCGCCGAAGGGCACTTACCAGCGTGTGCGCGTGCGCGTGTGCGGCGAGCGAGCGGCGGCCCCCGAATGCTGCGCCGGGGCGTCGCGGAGCCGCGGCCGCGCCGCGCACTTAGGCGCCCATTAGCATCGGCGCGCGCTGCTTAGCGGCTAATTGCGGCGCCCGCGGCCGAGGCTGCGACGGGGGGGGGGGCGGAAGCGGACGCTCCGGGCCGCGCGCGGCGGCAGTGCCCTCGCCAGGAGATCCTCGCGTTACACGTCTGCGGCGGCGGCGGCGGCATTTTCGACACCAACCACATAGCGAGGTCCAATGCTGCCGCTGTCAGGAGGAGAATTCTAGCGGCCGGCTGCTCTGATGGGGAGTTATCCGAACAACACCTGGTCAATACCCTAACAAACCGGCCACCGACCGCGCACGATCTTTCCTTCCTCTTCCTGATCCTTACCCTCACACCGTACTTCAATACACTTACATGCATTACACTAACACACACGCCGGGAGATCGCTCAGGAAATTAGAGATTGTCCCGGCTGGGGCGGTGCCCCGCTGATGGGAGATACCTGGTTGCGGAAAATGGACGGCGAAAACCGGCGCCGACCTACCGTCGGCTTGCGGGGTTTCTCTAAACCAAGTATCTCCCATCAGCGGGGCAAGTTGTAAACTCCCAACTGATATCCCGGCATGTGCGGTAGTGTAGTGCATTTTCGTGTAAGTGTGTGTGACGTTGAGAGCAGCCCGTTATGGTTTTGTATAGCACTCACCCCTTTGAGCAGAATGCTCACACAATCAGGATATGGTTACTTAGTGAAAACCCTGATGTTTGTATCTCTCACAACCTCTACATGGATGATCTCAAAACAATGTACTTCTAATAGAGATCACTTACACAACGAGATTGAGCTTGTCAAGAGTTTCAGCCACGCACTTCGTATGGAGTTTGAGAGTGACAAATGTGCTATCCTTCATGTTGTCCGCGCGCAAGTCCAAAACGGAGAATAAAATGTGCCAACATGTGGTGACACAATTATTAAAAATCTCGGTACTCAGGGCTTCTACAAATATCTGGGAATGCTACAGTTGTTGGGAATTTAAATTCAGATGCCAGACACAAAATTGTACAGAACGTGCTATTGAGAGTTTATAAAGCAAATCATGGATAAATTCAAGAAGCAAAATATCTGTTATTAATTTTTCGGCTATTCCCATAGCAACTTGGACATTTGGTATAATTAACTGGACATAAAAATCCTTATAGATTTTGACAGGAAAATACGCTTACAAGGCATGGACTTCATCACTCTCAGATTTCAGTGCTTGGCTGCACTTACCTCGAGAGAGTGTAGGAAGAGGATTCCTTAACTTAGAGGCACTATGTCGACAACAAGAAGAAAATCAACGTCGCTACTTTCTGTCCATTAACTCGTCTGTTCACAAAGCTGTATGTGATAAATATAAAAGGATAAACCCATTATGTCTGGCATCACTAAGTAAAGATTTTGATTACTTGAAGCATAAAGACTGCCTGAATATCTGGCGAAGAATATAACTTTATGATAGATTTTTTGCAACTATAACTTCGAAGTCCATAGACAAAAAATGCTCAATGAAGTGGCTTCGGCCTCTTCGGAGAGAATGAAGGATTTCTTGTCTCCATTGAAGACAAAGTTGTCAAAACCAGAGAATATGAAAACTTCATTACAGGTCACCAAATTGATTGCGGATGTCCCCTTTTTAAATCCACAAAAGAGTCAATCCAGCATATTTGCTGTTCCACATTATCTCAAACAGAATTCCTTAAGAGACACAACTGCGCCGCCAAAGTAATTCACCAAGCCCTTGCCAAGAGATACAACCTCGTAAAGAGTAAGTAACCTTATTATAAGTGCAAACTAAAGTAATCAGCAATGATCGGGCTCGAATTCTGTAGGATAGTAAAATCATCACTGATAGAACAGTCGAAGCAAATAGACCAGATATTGTTCTGTTTGATAAAATATCTAAAACATCGTAAATCGTTGATGTTGCGGTTCCTACATATGACAGGCTTGTAACAACAGTTGCTGAGCAAAGAGGAAATACCACCCCTGGCTGTTGAATTGAAGGACATGTAGAAAGCTTCCAGTGGTGGCGTCAGCGAGTGGATTGGACACCAAGGAATGGCAAGAGACCGCAAAGAAATTAAAAGTAACTGAGATGCATTTTCGGACCATGGACCATTCAGAAAGCTGCATTATTGGGAACAGCAAATATAGTCCGTAAAGTCTTAACCTTGAACTGACGGATATCAAAAACCGATTATATTTCTTGTTCCACTTTACGTGCATCAGTGTATATCCACAGGAAATAATAATAATAATAATAATAATAATAATAATAATAATAATAATAATAATAATAATAATAATTGATATTTTCTTTGGCAATATATTTATTTTTCGTGCATTGAACATGGAGAAAATGGCTTCCAAACACTAATTCGACGTAGGCAAACACCGATGCACCAATCGGCCTAAATATAATGACGTCATTGGCTTGTGCCGAGGCCTTCTATAGAGGCGGCTCGCGTATGTGAATGCCCTCCCCATCCCTTTACATGCCCTGTCTTCATGTCATTGAAATGGGTGTTTTGTTTATGCAGAACACACAGCAGTGGCACAAGTGACAAAGTCACACGCTACAACCAAGATTTGTGCTATTAGGTCTTTAATAGATTCCCTGCAGATTGTGAACTGGGAATACGAAAAGTGGACTCGTAGTATGACAGCGCAGTGGCATAGCGACTCTTAGCGCGGGCGCAGTGGTCTTTCAGCTACTGACACGAGCGGTCAGTACTACGCAACGCCCTGGAGCGTGGAATGGTATTGTGACTTCGAGGGCAAATTCATAAGGAGCACACAACAACCGATTTATCGTAATAAAATATAATAGGTAACCCTACAATATTATATATAATAGTAAGTTAGAGCTCTACACATTTTTCAGCACAGCCACAAAGCCCAGCAACATATTTCTCGCATCGTGTCACACGCAAAATCACACCCTGTGCAAAGAAATGTATATGTGCGTTCAGGCAATTAGAAAGTGAATGTTCTCGCACTAAAAAGTTCAGTGGGTGGACAATCGTGTCAGCCCCGGATGCGCGAGCAACTCACACCCAAACTTCTCGAGCTGCGCATCAAGTTCGATTGGGAGTCGTAACACAACAAAATGTCCAAGTTTATTCGATATTTTATTATAACATATTGAGAATAGTTGGGAATCAATTATATGAATTATAAGATAAAGTGGTGTGAGAAAGTGTACGAATACAGTGAAATGAATCGTTTCGTATACAAGTTGTTAAGTGCAGAACAAAAGTTCCTGTGGCTTGAAACTTAAATTTAAATAAAAAATGTCAATATGGATATATTTGACGTAAATCGTTACCAAATTTTAACATGTGCACTTTCTAAAGTACATGGCTCAATAGCCGCATGTTTTAACGTCCGATTTTTTTCGGAATTAATAGACACCACTTAAAAATTCCCTGACCTATAGTGAGCATTCTTCTGTTTGTTGTCTGTCTGCTGTCTCGCTGATGTCAGTCAGTCTGTTTGCTCTCTGTCTGTCTGACTGCTATTTTTTCAAAAACTTTATTTCACAGTATGCTCCGATACATATAACACTACATACTTTCAAATGCATGTATAGTTGAGTTTTGCAACTGTAGAGAATGATTAACAAGTTTTAAACATGAAATACATGGAAATAAAAATACTTAAAATGCAAATACATCAACATGAAAATATGAAATTACATCCATAAAATTTAAAACAATTTTATGTAAATAATAATTGTTTAATGTTCTGATTAAAGTTGTTAAATGAACGTAAATGTTCGTTTACTAACTTCTCAGGTGTTGCGGACCAAGATCCCAACTTCATTATTATCTTCTGTATTAGTTTCTTCCTTTCTTCTACTAGTAGCGAACATTCATTAATGATGTGGTATACTGTTTGGTCTCCCATGCTACATACACATGCTAGATTGCATATAATGAAAAATCTGTGTAGATACGATTCAGTGTTTCCGTAGACTTATTATTGAGAATTGCGGTATTATAAATTGTAAATTCTATTTTTATAGGTAATTTTTGTTTCAATCTGTCTAATATTTGGAAAAAAATAATTTGTTGTTTTGCCTTTCGTTGTTGGTTCAATTTGTTCTGCCATATTTGAATTACTTCATCGTTAAATTTATTTGCTAATGTAGTTTTTGAAATTTTTTCATGTACATATAAAATTGTTAATCAGCAACAGCATGCACTGCTAGAATGTCAGCTAGTAAATTAACTCTAATGTCCGTATCGGTTTTTACCGAACCAAACGACTCTGTTGTCAATTTACCTGTCTGCTGTTTGTCTAATGTCTGTCTGTCTGTCTGCTGTCTAATGCCTGTCCGTCTGTCTGTCTGTCTGTCTCTGTCTGCCTGTCTGTCTGTCTGCCTGTCTGCTGTCTTGTCTGTCTTCTGGCAGTGAAAGAAAAGGCGGCAAGGCGTGTGATTCATGAGGCTTTATTCGGTCGTCCTGGGGCAGGGCGCGGGTGGGGGGGCGCGCAGCAGGGCTGGGCGCGCATCTCGCGCTCCAGGCGGTCGTTGACGCACTGCACGCACAGCAGCTGCTCCTTGAGGCGCACCACGTCGCCCTGCGCCGCGCGCAGCTCCCGCTCCTGCCACACGCACACGCACGCGCACGCGCCGCGACGATGCCACCTCCCTCCGGGACTAGCTCGGGGCTGCGCGCCCGCTTCGTGCATGCAAGTGCAAGCGTCAGGGGCGAGGAAAGGTCAAGCAAGACGCTGCGAAGATCGGGGATTGGTTGATTCGTTAATGATTCCGGTCGCGTCAACTCCTGTCATAACTCCCGTAAGTGTGTTGCATGGTTTTATTGTCCAACTTCGCGGGATTTAACGCTTAATGACAAAATTTTAACCTTTAAAAACAAAACCTTCTTCAAAATAGAAGATAAGGATTTGTCTTAAACACAATTTGCTCGAAAATACCAGCTCTCGTGGCGACTCGTGCTTCGGTTGCAGAACCCCAAATATTCGAAAAATATTGAATAATATGTTAAGAATATAGATTCTCGATTTAATGAAATTCAGTACTCAAGATATTGCAGCACAATCAATGTGTGTGAAATCATTTTCAAAACAAAGAGCTCCCAACTGGCGCTCTCTCCGGCGTCTGGTATCCTCCCAAGTTTTGCATCACGCTCTTGGCTCTTGCCTCTATTAATACGTATTATTCATGCCCAGTTCTTATAAAAAACAGTAATTTTGCGAAAATGGGCTGAAATTAATTTAATTTATAAATATATTTTTCTCAAAAACCGCTCCATTTTTTCCACAGAAAGGAACGCTTAAAACAATACGCTGGTTTCATTGTCTTTGAAGTCTCTAAATTTTTCGAAAATTGCTAATACAGAAGTAATTCCAGAAATTGTGTGCTGGTGTAGTACCACTAGTTGCTATCGCGCTACACTACTTACGTAGTATAGAGAAAGTATTGTTCTGCTGCCAAAGAAAATGGCTATTTTATTGTGGAGCTCTGATAACTAAAACGTGGATGTCTTGTTCCTGTAATGTATAGAAAATTATTTCCTGCAACCAGTGCCTTCTCGTGCTTAGGTTGCACAACCCTCCAGGTAATCGAAAAATAGTTTATAACACGTAAGGAATACAGATTCTCGTTTTAATGGCATTCAATATTGAAGATATTGCAGCAATATCGATGTATGTGAACTAATTTTGAAACCAATGAGCGCCCAACTCGCGCTCACTCCAGCGTCTGGTGCCCTCGCAGGTGTTGCACTACGCTCTCGGCTCCTGCCTCTATTACCGCGTTTACTCTTCGGCCCTGTGCTTCGACATATGCCCTTTGGTGCGGCAACCAATGGGTGGGGGTTTGGTCGCCGAGCGCTGCGCGGTGTCCCGAGGGGAATCCCAATTTTCTTTCTTTAGCGTCGTTTAACGCTAGCTCTGATTTAATTTATGAATTTCACATTCTACTGAAAGTGCATAAGTTTGGAGAATTATTTTTCTTTTGATGTTAGGTTTTTGATTCAAAATGTACATTCGATGACAAGTTCATTGTGTAAAGTTGGCCGTTCACGAAGGAAGTCCCCTCTGTCTCACGGTGGATGAATATTTTCGGATTCAGTTACAGTTGAGTTACAGTCTGCGAGTGTACAACATCACTCGCTGACTGTACTCAGCTGTAATCTGAAGGCTGTGTGTGAAATACCTTTATTACAAGATATACCAGGGTTGTGACATTTCCGAAATCAAATAATTTTATGAAAACGTGGCCAAAGAATAATGATTGTTACAAAGTGCGAGAGTGCGATCACCGTATAATCCATACCAATTTTTTTGGTTTGTTTTGTATGAATTATTTTGCCGTCATTTGGCTCAGTGCAAAACTAATACAAAAACTTAAGTGCCCAAAGAAAATCAAAGCCAGAACCAAAGTGCAGGTTTATAAAGCTGTCACGGTTTCATTATAGACTTTTTATTTAACTTAGTTTCAATTAATTTGCATTTCTTACATTTTTATTACATATTCGTAATTTGAAGTTTGGAAATTACATTTCCGACATTCAATGGAGCTGCAACCTTCAGTATGTTGGGGCACAAGTCGCCACTGCCTCTAACACGTTGTTTTGCCAAAATCAACAATTGTGACCCCTTAAACCAAAATATTGCTTAACGGCAAACTAACGTGCCGTACATTACATCCTTCCTTCCGTCAATCTGTGAACAATGCTAGAGGCTAACTGTAGTCAGTTTTTTTCACCAAACCTGATATTCCCCGATCTGTTTAGGGCGATATCTCAGTCTCTGTAATTTAAAACGTGGATTTTATTATCGGAGGACTTTACATGAAGCGTCAACACATTTTAAAAAAATTCTTAAAATTGCCTCCTAGTTTTTCCTGAAAAATGTCAATAAAACTTTAGAAAATTGTAAATGCAAATGTTCCACTGTGTATTGGCAGTGTCGGCAAGGGGTTGTGCTGTCTCTGAGACTGGTGGTGTAGGAGTGAATCTCGCACTGAATCTAAATACTTGACGCTGAACCGCGTCGTGCGATTTTTTTCTGGTTGAAATCGCTTTCGCGAATTCAAGTAATGATGCAATATCTCTAAACCCATAAATTAACGCTAGAAAGCACGTGATACTTGTTTTTTTCGCGTTTGATGGCTTAGAAATATTTTTTTATAAATAAATATGTATTATCTCGACATCTGTGGTATGTAGTGTATGAGTGTACGTAACAGGTGAGGATAAGGCAAGGATGCGGAAGGAAAGATAGCGAGCAGTTCGTGGCCCATTTGTTAGAGTACTCCTCCAGTAATTGTTGGAAAAAACACATAAAACTACGTTCAGCGCAGCAGGCCGCTAGAATAGCCCCCCAGACACAGGCTGAATTCGATATACCTACAAAGTTTGTTTTGCAAATTCGCCGGGACTAGAACCCATCAGAGTACCTGCAGCGGCAATACATGGTGCAGCGAGCAATGTCAGCCGGTTTGTGTATTCGAATGTGTCGATTACGCAATTAGTAAATTTGTTTTTGTTCTGAAAACCTTTAACATGTTAGTAAAATGAATGTTGTGGATTTGGTAATATTTGATAGCTAATTTGTGCTAATTTTATACTACCCACATCTCAGAAGTTTTCATAACATCCCTGAAATTAGGAACACGTTACCTCGTCAATTAAAAAACGTAATTAATTATTCCTATTCTTTTTTGGTTAACCCCATTAAAAGAAATCAAATTACGAAAATAAAATATCTACATGTTTCAAGATCAAAGTTTTGTGAATGATAGTCCCACGGTACTGGCACTAAGTATCACGTGGACTGCAAGACTCGCTCCGCGATCCAACAACAGCCCTTGAGTTTACGTTTCATAAATAAACTATTAACAATGTATCGGGCTCATAGTAAAAATAAATAAATGTTGAAAATTGATGTATGGTAATATGCTATTAACGGTATTATACTATAAATTACTAGAATATGAAATATTATATTTAATAGTAATTTATTCAACAAGGGTCTTATTCACCAAGGGCGTTATAAAAGCCGTCGCCCGAGGTATTACAATAACAAGTTAACGACCGTGATACATACATGCATTTTTTCCTAATTTTAATGATTCAGATTATATTTACTAATTAACTAGTTAACTCGACTGTGTTTTCATATTTCCCTCCTATAATTTCCTTTTATTATTCCCTTCATAAGGGAAAATGTATGCTCATTCAAGTGTTTTCATAATTCCATTGTAATTACATTAATAAACTATTATTTTGGGAGGGTGGTATTCACTTTTTGAACTTGAAACAAACACAGAATGTTGGATATTAAGAGTTGCCATTGTTAACAGCAAACTGTCGTTAGTCTGTGACCTTTTGCAATCATAAGGGGAAGTTGGAATAACAAGGTTTTGTAATGCTGGACTTTCTCAGCTTGACGCCGTGTGCTGCTCAATTTGAAACGCGCATTTTCGTTAAAGCGAAGAAGAAAACAACAGTTTTGGAGCAGTGTATGAATACTTCTGAGTGAGGAGCAAAATACTTTGACTCATTACCGTGTTCACGTGGTGTCCTTTCAATCTCCTCCTTCGCCTTCCTCTCCTTCTGCCGCTTCTTCTTCTTCTCCTCCCTCCTCGCCTTCTTCGCCTCCTTCCGCCGGGGCCTCTGCTCCCTCGCCTGGCCCTCCTTCGCCGCCCTCCGCCTGCGCGGGCCCTTCCCCCTCCTCGCCCTTCTCGTCCGACTCTTCGCCGTCGCCCCCCTTCTTCTTCTTCTTCTTCTGGTCTTTCTTCTTCTTCTCGTCCTTGCCCTTCTTCCTCCTCTTGGCCTTGTCGTCCTCGACGCGGCTCTTGGGCGGGCGCCAGGGCTGCTCCGGGGGCACGCAGCGGATCACCTCGGGGCACACGCACTCCAGCCTCTGCGCCTGCGCAGCCCAGCCCAGCCCACGCGGGCCGCTTTATCCCTTATCTCTATCTAATGTACAGAAAACAATGTGCTTTGTCGCCTGGTTCCTACTTAATGCGCTGCCGTTCGTTCCGTCGATTGCGATGAAACGTCGCCAACTTATTCCGTGCACTTGTCGGGAGAATGTAGGCGTAGTGCGAGGGGAACACAGTCGCGCGTCGATTATGGTTTTATGTACACTCAAGGGTCCTGAACAGGAGGCTCTACGCAACCCATCGTATCCTGAACGATTATTAAAACGGCTTCATTGCGTATTGTGCCCCTGCGATTGTGAAATTTCTCCCGAGAGAGAAATATACAGGGAGAGACAGATGGACCAAAAGAGACGCAGAGAGAGAAACAAGTGCAGAGAGAGGGGAAGACAGAGACGCAGAGAGAGAAGCAGGCAGAGAGACAGAGGGAGAGCGACGGAGAGAAGGAAAAACACGAGGAGAGAGACAGATGGAGAGAGACAGAGAGGTAAAGACAGATATACAGACGGTGAGAGAGACAGAAAGATAAAGGGAGAGGGAAGGAGAAAGAAAGGGAGAGGGAGTGGCAGAGTGAGGGAGGGATAGGGAGGGACATGGAGGTGGGGGAAATGAAGAAAGACGAAGGGAGATGAAGGGCAGAACAACGTCTGCCGTGTTCCGCTAGTTTACCTTATTTGTATACCTTGTATACTTTATTTATTAGTGTTATAGAATACTGTATCTCCTTAGTTCTTTGTTAGAGGAGTCCGAGTTTGGACCTACAACGGCAGACAAGTTATAGAAAACGCAATTGAAAGCAAATGAATAGCTTGGAATGCCGGAGCACATCAAACAGACTACAGGTGCATCGCTCAGTCAGCAGTACGATGTCCTAATAGGGAAAGGCAAATGTTGGATTCTGTATTTATTTATTTTTTATTTAACTATTTATTTATCAACTACTAGGCATACAATTTGAATACTTTTCGCGTAGTTTTGCGTCAAAGTACGAGCGAGAAATTAGGTACTCTTTTAGCACCACTATTTTATGATGTTAAGCTTTATTGCATGAGTAGAAGTTTCGAAGACGACCGACGTTAGGAACGAGTTTTCAAATCTGTACGAAAATAATAAAGTAACGTTGTTGACAAGTTGCATATGCATTTTTTGTTTAATACAATATTTTTTTTTAAAAAATTCAAAGTCTTGCTACAACTCTAATATTGAAAATAAGATTTTTTTCCTAAATGAAACCTGTTCTCTAGAGACAGTTCTTGAAATAACGTCGTGTACTATTTTTCGGAAATATGAGTAGTTTTCGCATACTTTTGCCTGAAATTTAGATAATTTTGAAACAATTATTTTTCAGAACCGTCTCCATTTTTTAATTTTCTCCTTTTGTGAATCAAAGAATGGGACAAAAGAACGCTAGTTTCATTTCTGGTGAATACTGTATTTTCCAAAATCGCAAAAAATAGAAAAGTACAAATTTGAAAATGTAGTTTTTTTTTTCTTATAGGAATTCTGTTTTAAAAAACAGATCTTTAGAAAAGGCCAATTTCATTTTTAAAGCATTAGTATTTGCTCACATTCTGCTTAAAGTTAATGTAAATTATTATCAAAAAATATATTTTCTCAAAAAACGCTCCAAATTTTTCTACAGCTAGAAGAAGGAATGCTTAAAAGAATGACTCAGGTCTAATTTTCGTTGCTCTTTGAATTTTCGAAAATTAAATTTTATAAATAATGCGAGAATATATGTGTTATTGTAGCACTCAGACTTAATGAAATCCGTTCTTGAAATCGTCTTGCTCATTAAGTGAGGTAACGTACAATTGTTCATGGACGGGCAAATGACAAGGGAAGCGAGAAATTGAACTGAAAGGAACCCGTCTCTGAACAAGAGTATATTATGCACATTGTTTATCATGTTAAGCGTTATTGCACGAGTACATGAAATGAGCCACGCTTTCAAATTAGTTCGAATGCAGTAAATCTTCACATTATAGACGAGGTGCATACGTTATATTTTTGTGTAAGAAAGTTATAAATTTATAAGAGAATCAAAGTTAATTTGTAGAAACAACGTTACTGTGACGTCACTGATATATGACATCTGTGCGGAAAAAGGTGGTCGACTATTCCGTTTACCGCTACCACTCCACGATTCGCTTCGATTGACTGAATGCGTGATGACGCAATTATTTTTTGCCATAAATAGAAAATACGTCAAAAAATGTGCCGTAAGATATTTTATGAATGATTTCTTGTAAGGTAGAAGGTCGTTTATAATACTGGAATGCAAAAAACAAATGGTCATCTTTCCTTATTTAATGTGGCTGTAAAAGTTCAATATGCATTACAAAGTAAATTATTGGAATTCTGAGCTACAGCAATTACAATTGTGTGATAAATATTGCAGATATCGTTTGTATTTTGCAACATTATCATGAAAGAAAAAAATGTGATGTTTACGATGTGCAACATACATGTATAACATTTCATAAATATGCTGAAATGAAAGTTATAGATCACTAAATGACACTGAAATTTGTACGGCGTTTAAAAATGCATATCTCCATTGAGATGTCGTAAAACAGTGAATACGTACGTACGAAAATATGGAATAAGCCCCTTGAAACCACCTAAATTCTCTCTTCAAATTGAATAAAAGTAACAGAAAATTATATGGTAAGAAAACATTATTTTGTTAAAACCAAACAAAAAATGTCACTTAGAAGTATTCATACACCACTCCTCCAAGTACAGACGCGAAAACGTAGTTTGCTCAAAACATTAATTTCTTGGTCTGCCAGCAAAATTATCAATTGAGACATTTCAAAATAAACTTACTCGAGTTTTTTTCATTAGTAAACCAGCAATTGTTTCGTTACCTTTGCCCAAAATGTTCCACCAGTGGAGGGATCCAAAGGCATGTTTATGCAATTTATTCAAAGCAGGTCACATTCTCGGAAAAAAATAATTCCTTCTGTTCTTTCCCGTGTTCCAATTATTGTACTGTAGATAACAACCACAAATAGCGGGTGCTAGTTTGATATAATATTCCAGTACTAATAAGAAAATAAGTAATGAATGTATATTGTGCTCAGAACAATATTAACACTGTTTCAGCACAGAATCTAGGTCCAATAATTTAAAATATCAGTTTCTATTTAGTGAATTCTATGAGTTAGATTTAAAGAGTCGTGTGTGAGTAATTCCCTGTCTTGCATCGAGTGGCAGCATGCTTCGAAATCGCAGTTTAACTTCAGTGTTCCTGCTGTTCCCAGCTCTACTCGGGACTTCGGTCATCGTGCTAACATGAAATGTCCTTGAGTCTGTGCGTCGCATTTGATTTAACAATGCATTTGACCAACGCATATGAAGCAAGTTATTTTATAGTGTAGTTGACGATTCGTAGTGCAAGTTGCGTATTTTCAGGTAGTGTCTGCTAAGTACAGAGGCGAGGACGACATTTTAGTTTGCATTTTTGTGCAAGTACTCGTTGTTACCATCGAAACTACTGTCGTTTGCCAATATTGAATGGAATGCAATAGTTTTAGGTTTACGTGCATTTTTAAGGACGGAAAAATTCTTCGTACACCTTCCTTCGGAGGGGAAGTAAAGCCGGATGACTCATGTTGTAGATTTACTACATGCAAAAGCCTAAAAGAATTTTCATCAAAACTAGAATGTGTAGTTCGTCGCCTTAGTGATAGCTCTTTCTCTGCTACACGGTGAAAGGAGCGTAGCAAAATGTACGTGGTGATGCGGATGCGCAGGCCCAACGGATTTTTGTCATATAAAGCAACATTGATCGGTTGGTCGAGAGGTCGATTGGAGGATCGAGACGCACCAGTTCGCGGAGCGCGGCGTCGCCTTCGAGGTCGCCCTCGTCCTCCTCGTCTGCGCCCGAGCTGTCCTCCTCGCTCGAGCTGTCCTCGCTGCTGTCCTCGTCGCCGCCCTTCTCCTCGCGCTTCTTCCTGCGCGCCTCCTTCCGCTTCCGGCGCCGCGCGCGCTCCTTCTCCTGGTCCGCCGCCGCGTCCTCCTTCAACCCAAAGCATGCGCCGCTCCAGCCAGCCAGCCAGCCAGCCAGCCAAACGCGACCCTGTTTTAAACGTTGATATATGGAACCCGCTTTTCCTAATATCCATGTATTTCTCTCGATGTTTTGATCGTGGAGGAAAAAATACTATAAGCACAATTTTGTAAATTGAGACTAGGATCTAATAGAGTAAAAATTCGTGAAGTGTGTTTTGATTTTACATAAGTTAATGGATTAAATCCAAATTACACAGTTTTGTAGTATTTAATGATACAAATATGTCCCTATAATATTTTAGATCCATTACCATTTAAACAAAAGTTATACAGAATTTAATTTTTGCATCATTGTATTAAAAAATAATAACTATTTGTCCAAAGTAATTAATTCAAAATAGCTGTGAATGTGTAGAAATGAATGTTTTTACGCATGATGGTAAAATTTATAATTTAACTTTAAATTTGTTATTAAAATATTAATTTCGTATAAACAAATTATTTACCTAATGTCTATTTGTGTTTTCGAACCAAACGAACGCAGTTTGCACTACTTTCATCGAGCACACTATTCCTCCGCCGACGTGATTCGGATGCCTTAGTATTTCCTTCGTCTTTCAAAGCACTGTGCTTACAGAGAGGCGTCTTTAATTTTATTTCGAGTTAATTTTTAATTATACTAATTATTTTATATTAAGTGCGTGAATTTATAGCTTTTTGCGCCATTGAGATAGATACCAAGGGAGATACTGATAGGCCAACGCATCCTCACTCGAGTTTGAGCCTCAAAACAATAAATTACCAATGAAATGTAAATATTGTTTCTACGATACTATAATGTTTTTGTATTTAGTGTCATATTTGTTTTATCTCTACTCTTCTTGGTTTATCGAAAGGAATCCCACCTTCGTAAAACAGAAGGCCGAGGTTCGTGACAGAAGGTAGTAGTTGTTCCGTACGAGTTCATGTTGTGTAACTGATACATCCAGATTATAATTACTAAAATTAAAATGATTAAAATGATGACAAACGCTGCATTATCTAATTAATTACATATCATTCCTAACGTATTTTCGAAAATAATTTACCATCAGTTGATAAATTGCTGTACATCTACATGAGAGTTGAAACGAGTTTCATAATATATTATGTGTTAATAGTTACCCACTAATTGTGTATTACCAGCTAATTGTAAGTTAATAGTCACTGGGAAGTGTTTAATAA